GCTCGCTCGGGCCTCAAAGCCGGAGGCTGCCGTGAGCGAGGCCGAGGCCCCGGCGCTCGCTCCAGCCCGGGCGACGGAGCCAGGCTCTCGTCTCCGAGAAATAAAAACAGGAAAGGTCCGTAAACAACGCGGCCGCTAGCGCGGGAAGGGGAAACCGAGGCGCGTTCTCAGCCCCTCGGGACGTGCCGGCCTCGGGCTCTGACTCGAGCGCCGTCCCCGCCTCCCCGCCCGCAGGTGGCCAAGCAGCTGAAGGAGCAGCAGATGGTCATGCGGGGCCACCGGGAGACGTCCATGGTCCACGAGCTCAACCGGTGAGTGTCGGCCCCGGGTGGATGTTTGTGTGAACTCGCTGAGCTCCGGACACCAGACACAGAGAAGTCCGTGCCGGCCGGGCGCGGGGGCTCACGCCGGTCATCCCGGCACTCTGGGAGGCCCAGGAGGGAGGATCGCCCGATGGAGGCCAGGAGCCGGAGGCCGGCCTGAGCAAGAGCGAGGGTCTTGTCTCTACTAAGAAAAATAAGAAAGAAACGAGCTGGACGACTAAAACTATATAGAAAAAAAAAAAAAAAATGAGCCGGGCGTGGTGGGGCGAGACTGGAGTCCCAGCTACTCGGGAGGGAGGCCGAGGAGGGAGGATGAGTCGAGGTCAGGAGTTGGAGGCCAGCCTGAGCAAGAGTGAGACTAAAAAAAAATAAGAAAGAAATTAGCTGGACAAGTAAAAATATATATGAAAAGTTAGCCAGCCTATCATGGTAGCATTCTTGGAGGCCGAGGCGGGAGGATCGCTCGAGGTCAGGAGTTGGAGGCCAGCCTGAGCAAGAGCGAGACCCCGTCTCTACTAAAAAAAAAAGTAGAAAGAAATGAGCTGGATAACTAAAAATATATATGAAAAGTTAGCCAACCTGTCATGGTAGTAGCATTCTTGGAGGCCGAGGCAGGAGGATCGCTTGAGGTCAGGAGTTGGAGGCCAGCCTGAGCAAGAGCGAGACCCCGTCTCTACTAAAAAAAAAATAGAAATTAGCTGGACAACTAAAAATATATAGAAAAATCGAGCCGGGCGTGGTGGCGCATGCCTGTCGTCCCAGCTACTCGGGAGGGAGGATGAGTCGAGGCCAGGAGGTGGAGGCCAGCCTGAGCAAGAGCGAGACCCCGTCTCTACTAAAAAAAAAAAAAATAAGAAAGAAATGAGCTGGACGACTAAAAATATATAGGAAAAAAAAAAAACTGAGCTGGTGGTGGTGGGTGGCGCACACCTGTCATCCCAGCTACTTGGGAGAGGGAGGCTGAAGTGGGAGGATGAGTCGAGGTCAGGAGTTGGAGGCCAGCCTGAGCAAGAGCGAGACCCCGTCTCTACTGAAAACAAATAGAAAGAAATGAGCTGGACGACTAAAAATATTTAGGAAAAAAAATGAGCCGGGCGTGGTGGTGCATGCCGTCCCAGCTACTCTTGGGAGGGAGGCCGAGGCGGGAGGCTGAGTCGAGGCCAGGAAGTTCAAAACCAGCCTGAGCCAGAGCAAGCCCCCGTCTCTACTAAAAAAAATAATAAGAAGTAGATGAGCTGGACAGAAAAAAACATATAGAAAAAAGAACGATCCGGGCGCAGTGGCGCGCGCCTGTCGTCCCAGCTACTCTGGGGAGGGAGGCCGAGGCGGGAGGCTGAGTCGAGGCCAGGAAGTTCAAAACCAGCCTGAGCCAGAGTGATCCCTCGTCTCCACTAAGAAAAAAATAATAATAAATAAGAAGTAGATGAGCTGGACGACAGAAAACACATAGAAAAAAAAAAACTGAGCCGGGCGCGGTGCCGCGCGCCCGTCGGGAAAAGGGAGGCCGAGGCGGGAGGCTGACGGCCGTGCGTGTCCCCCCGCAGGTACATCCCCACGGCGGCGGCCTTCGGCGGGCTGTGCATCGGGGCGCTGTCGGTGCTGGCCGACTTCCTGGGCGCCATCGGCTCGGGCACGGGCATCCTGCTGGCCGTCACCATCATCTACCAGTACTTCGAGATCTTCGTCAAGGAGCAGAGCGAGGTCGGCAGCATGGGGGCGCTGCTCTTCTGAGCCTCCGCGCCCGGCCTCCCCGCCCGGCCTCCGCGCCGCCCCAGCCCCCCCACCCCCAATGCCACGCGTGTTTTGCAGTTTTCCGCAAATCCGCCTCTTCATTCCGGCGCGTCGGCAGGAAGACGAGCCCCCGGGGGGCGGCCTCCACGACCCTCCCTCCCCGGGGGGCCGGCCTCGACACCCGCGGGCGGCCTCGACACTTGGGAGGCTGTAAGGGTGGGGACTGTTCTGTCCACCGTGGGAGGCCCAGGCGGTGTGTCAGTCTGTCTGTCTGTCTGTCTGCCGGGCCTCGGGTCACTCGTGTTCTGGGGACACGGGACTGGCGTGGTGGCGGCACACGCGCGTGTGTGTGTGTCCTCCCGTGTTCACTCCGTGGCCTCCGACTGCTTCTCTCTCTCTCTCCACGGAGCCGGCCTCCCTGCCTCCCTTTGGCTCCTGCTGTTCGAGACAGGGCCGCTCATGCGCCCTCTGTCGCCCCCGGGGGTTTCTCCTCACAGCTGCCTCCGGTTCCGAGGCTCAGGCGAGCCTCCCGCCTCGGCCTCCCTCCCGAGTAGCTGGGACGACAGGCGTGCGCCTCCATGCCCGGCTAGTTTA